GGGGGGATGGATTGGGGAAGGGGGGGCTGATGTGTCGCTCTCTCCCTCTCTCTTTTGAAGATGCGTTTTCAGTGAAACGTCATGAAAGGAGTTAGGGACAATTCCCCCCTCCCCCCCCAGAGATTTTTACTGAAGATAGCTCAGGTGGGTCTTCTCTGAGAGCTCAAGTAAAGCAAGTTGGTTTTTTTTTTTTTTTTTTTTAGGGAGACTCCGACTTACCTGTACTCCTCATCCAAGGGTAGATACGGAAATTACTGTCGCTTTGTAAATCTGAGTCCCTCTGGTCCGTTTTGCTGCAGTTTTGCTTGGAAGCATCTCCCGGGCACATCATGGAGAGGTTTTGCTCGAAGGGGGAACAGTGCATGTTGAAGGAGCTGTGCTCCAGGCCATACCCCGAGGAATACATACTGGGGGGTTGAGGATGCACAGCACTTCCACTGGAGTAAAGCCCAGGCATGGAAGCAGCGAAAGGAGAAGTAGATCCTGCCCCATACCCAGTTCTTTGGGTGTTAGAGGCAAAAGCGCAAGAAGTTTGCTCTGGAAAGACTCCGGATGGGAAAACCGAACTTGCGGCTTGATATTTCGAAAATAAAGCATTGGCATAATACAATGAACTCATAATTTGGCCGGGTGATTTGTAGGTCGGGACGTTTTAGTGTCGGTTTTACGAGGTACCGTGATATATTACGGAATTAGAGTCCAGATTTACACCAAAAAAGAGCCTTTTTTTCCTCCCGGCCCTAGTGACGCGAGGGCACGTGGCTACCTCGGCACCAATCGCCTCCTGTTCCCTCCTCGGGGGCACGGGACTGTGCGGCTGGATTTATAAAATATGATAAATAATTGATGCGATATAAAACCCTTCCAAGATCTATGCTGCGAGGAGGTGAAATTGTGCTAGAGTCGATAAGCAACCTGTAATCAGTTTTCAGCTTAGACCGAGAGAGAAAGAGGGAAAGGAAAAAAAAAAAAAAAAAAAAAAAAAAAAAAAAGAAAAAAAAAAAAGGAAGGCAAAAAAAAAAAAAAGGGGAGGGGAAGGAGGGGGGGAAAAGCACGTTGCTGATAAACCAGCGGTTCCCTCACGGTCTCTCTCTGCTGGAGGAAAAGGATGGGAGGTCTATTTATCCCTTTATTGATCCTGACTGAAATTCTCTCCTTCGCACCATTTCCTCGGCTCCCAGCTACTTTTTCTCAAGACTGTACATAATTCCCTCCCCCCTTGACCCTCACCCCCCTCCCTGTCCCCCCTCCTCAAAAAAAAAAAAAAAAAAAAAAAAAAAGTCTCATCCTCAAAAAAAAAAAAAAAAAGACAAATGTCTCATTGATACCTAATAGTTTCAGGGATTTTTTTTTTTTCCTCTCCAAATGCCATTCAGCTCTATATGTAATTTATTCCAGTGCCACAGGCTTTGAGCTCCGTATCGAGCTGGCATTTGCTTTG